AGCTCGTCATAGCAGCTCGCCTGACCCGGGCTCTTTCTGCATGGCGTGCACGTTTAGCCGCAGCTCTATCGTCAGCTGCATTCCCTGACACTCCAATCTGGAAACCGCGGGCGTTGTCGACAGGGTCTTCGCGATGCGAGTCCTCCTCGAAGCGACGTTGATGCACAACGGGGTCATCTTCTTCTGTCTTCTCCTCACGCGCAGAAGCTACGCCAGGTACGCGCAGCTGTTCGAAATCCGTTTGTGCTGGAGCTTCAACTAACTGGAGCTGCTCCAATTCTTGTATTGCCTTGCGGTAGCGCGCCTCCGCTTCACGAAGCCTTTTTTTTGCGGAGTTGCCTTTGCTTACACGATTTCTCTTGGGATGTGCATGCGTTCTCACGCCGGGCTCGCTGTACACGCTCATCTAGTTCCTCGCGGGTATTTCTAATCATTAGACACAGCTAGTCGAGTTAATTTTGCGCCAAAACCCGCTACACTGTTGTTAAGAAACCTTTTTCTTTTCCTTGGGGCTCTTGCCATGTTGTCGTATCTTGAACTGGACTGTCGCCTGATTTAGATAGAACATTATCACATGGGCGGCTAGACTCGAAAGTCTAAGTGCACTGGATATTATTCTACAGCTACTTTATAAATATAAGCACCAGAACATGGACACGATAGCTTAAGCAACGTGGTATTCGAATAGAACCCCGAGCTTTCCTTTCCAGTACTAATCCAGAAGCCCTCTGTGAGCATAGCACACCACTGTCATTTCCATCCCGGCTCCTCGGATTACAAACAACTCAGGGGTATCGTCACTCCAGGCAGCTTGTTGGTCCAGTCAGCTTTTGCTTAGGCCTTCCCCTTGGCCGACGTGTTACAGCCCTCAGCTCACGTTCCGCGGGTCCAAGTTACCTTGCACGGCTGTGGACCAAGCAGCTGTACATGGTAATTCAGACGCCGCATCGCGCTGTTGCCTCTTGGGTACGTCAAAGCTGTTGCCTCATCCCTGTTGAGTGGCTGCCCAGGTCTGTTCGATACCGTCCAGCCCTTCAGGTCATGTCAGTAGTATGCGCAGGGTGTCCGAGAACGACCCAGCCCCTCACGGGGCTCACACAGCTCCGAAAATGCTGTAAAACTGTCTATTATGATGCTATGCTATTTAAGTGTACAGGCGCGGGGCTCACTCATGCTCTTAAAGTGTTTTTTTGTCTTGATCTCTTGTTCTTGAGCTGTCCTTGCACTTGGTCTTGAGCTCCTTGCTCTTGTGAGACCGACTGCTGCATTCCTTTCCGTCCCGCCAGAAGTACTCTCGCAAAGTGTGTTTTGATGCGGGAGCTCACACTTTAAAATCACCTCTGTATTGCGGGACCGTAGCGACTCTTCCGCATGTGGCTGCAACTTCGGTTTGGCCAATTGGCAGCACGCGCCACTCGCTTTTGGAGCGTGGACACTCGCGGTGGGTCTAGGACCCCTAGGCGCGTGCATGGTGGTAGACGCTCCCAGTCACACCCACCCCAGCCTGATTGCTATCGCTACCAACTGCCATACCACTTTGGAGTCTCGGGGCAAGCCTCCGACTGTATCCTGAGAGGTCTCTCTTGAATATGTAGAAGGGCAAGGAGTCCCACGCCTGTACATACATGCATATACATCTAAAATTACCCATTATACAGCCAGCGCACCTTTTTCTCGCCACGCCGTCGCTTAAAAATCCAATTTTGTGTTTTGAATGAAAAATGAGTCGGAAAATATTGCCCAATCAGGGCGCGAGTTAATTGTGTGGCGTTTTTGCTATAATTGTCATTTGGGCATAGTTAGGTCGAGTCAGAAAGATAGGCGCTGTTCATAAGATGGGACCCAAATGCTTTAGAAAGGGCGAGTGTAGCCATGCGAAAAGGCAGGTCAAAGCAGGAAGACAGGGAGTGCGACGGACGGATTGACAGACGGACGGACAGACAGACAGACCGACAGGTTACAAGGTTAGGTGGCGGGAAACTAGCGCTCTGGGCGCCCGCTCCGCGGACGCTAGGGCATCGTTGGTTGGTGTAGAGAGGGTTGACCACCTCCGCTGCGCTGGGTTTAGATTTTCTACTTAGAGCGAAGCTACATAAAATAAATTTATACTGTGATCTACTTATGTTACGGTTCAAACCAACACTGCACACAATATTCTTAGTGCTCACGTTTTATGCTAGACTTGACAAGGGCTTAACGTGATCTGCAAGATGAGAACTATCTTACCCGAGAAGGTTCTGTCTGTAATCTCATTGGAGCGCATTGCTCCCAAAATAACACGAATCGGAGGCGCGCGTGGTTGCAAAGCTAATATATGTTGTACGGAAGACGGGTCAGTATCAATGATGCTACGAAATATGCGTAGATCGGTGAGGAATCCCAGTGTAGCTGGAGTAAAAACGCCTACTCAAACACATTACCCATCTGCACGTCATCGTCGTAAGGCAGCCGACACCTTATTATTGCTTGTCACGGTCTATTAGAGCAAGGTTTAGTCAGCTCCACGCGTGAAATATCTTTTAGGATAGGTAGTATTTGCCGAGTGTCGCCACAAACACCAACATTATGCTTTGAAAATTATTATTCTGCTGAGCTGTTTGTGATATTACGGAAGGGTCTTTCCACTATCTTCCGCATGCATTTATCTTACTTGCATAGCTGACTTATTTTCTGACTTATTTGCATAGCTACTGACTGACAGAGTGGCGTTAATCCTTTCCGACTGACATTATACTGGGTCCGATATGTACGACAAACATACGAAGATATATGGCTGTAGGCAGCGTATCAGATCGTAGTGATGCTTAGACTTGATTTGAATAATAGTTCATGTACATTAGATGGAGTACTTTCGCTGCCTACTTATCCGCTTGGCGTGCTATTTGATGTGTCCGTGCATATATCGCAAGGTCGTTAATGAGTGTATTTGCCACGCGCTCGTGATAGTTCAGCCTATGCATGGGGTCACTGTTTCTTTATCGGTACTTTTGCATCGTGGTGCTAGCTTTCTGCGCCTACGCTTCTGGTGGATCAGTCTACATGGCCACGCGCGCCACTAACTGAACGTAGGTCATAACCGCGGTGATACAGGCAAGCTGACCGCGCGTACGTAGGTAGTAGTCAACGCATAATATGCGCGCGGCGGGTACATCTTATAATCATTCGCGACTCAACCGGACTCTCGTCTCGACCATTATACACATGAAACTAAAATACAGTACTGCGTACAGGCACATCGCCTTGCGACGACCACCTGTATGGTCAACACTACCATAGACGTGCTTGTTAATATGTAGACAGCAGCTTATTCGTCGGTACATAGTGCTCACTCTATACTGAAGCTTACATTCGTGAGCGCACATTATTGAAATATACGCGGTGAGCGTTGGTGGTACAGATATCATGGTTTTGCGTGTGTCCACGTGGGCGAGCTTACGTGCCATCTACGGTGACGCGTATGCGGATAGGAACGACCAACTTGCAGCGGTACACAGCTGATTCCATGTGCTCATATTTTATGAAGCGCTACGCTTTGTAGGTGCGTCAGCACTATAGTCAGCTCACCGAGCCTCGCACCGTCAGCCAGTATACTAAACCAAAATAGGTAGGAAATTGGCCTAAAAGGGTATATTTACCAATTACTTGCTCTTCTGCTGCTTATTTTTCTCGATGTACTTGGCGTTTCGGGCGGTCAGCTTGCGAGGGCGGCTGCGCCTCTTTTCCTTCTTGGGGTACCAGTCAGGACCCATCTCCTTCTTGACGTTCGCCAGGCTTTCCTGGCGGCGCACTTCGGCCGAACCAGGTGGCGGAGGCTTTTCCTCCCAGAACTTAACCGCTTTTGGGCCGTTCTTGCAGACAATACAGTGCCGCACGCTGCCCCGGCCGCTGATTGTACGTAACGCGTAGCCGTACGGCAGCTTCCCGCAACCGACGCAGCGCGCCCGGGAATCCCATGTAGACCGCTGCGGATTCAGCGGTCGCAGGTCAATATTGGCCTTGCATGTGAGCCTCCAAGCCTCGCACTGTAGCCAATATACTAAATACAAAGATAGGTAGAAACATGGAGGCCATAAAGGGTATATTGACCAATTACTTGCTCTTATGCTGCTTCTCTCGCTTGATGTACTCAACGTTTCGGGTGGTCAGCTTGCGAGAGAGGCTGCGCCTCTTCTTCGTCTTGTGGTACCAGTCAGGGCTCATCGCTGCTAGCATTCGCCAGGCTATCCTGGCAGTTGACCTCTCCTGGATCTGGTTGTGAGCCTTTCCCTCCCAGACCTTTGTCGTGTTTGGCCCATTCTCACAGGCAATACAGTGTCGCCCGATGCCCCACCCGCTGATTATACGGAGCGCATTGCCATACTGCAGCTTCCCGCAGCAGGCGCAGCGGTCTTGTGGGTCCATCGTAGACCGCTGCGGATTTACCAGTAGCAAGTCAATCTTCGCTTCGCCCGTAGGTCTCGCCATGTTGCAAGCTGTGAGCAAACTATTACAATTACAATTTTGCGTAAATGTTTTAGGTATTTTAACGGATATTTACTGCTGGGTGTATATTATTAAACAAAATATTAGATAGTATTATTACATCATAAGCATGCTTTTGTTTTTTTTACCAATAAAACACGTCAAAATTTAGCCATAACACGGCCATTTAATGTTGCTTCTTATAATTAAAAAAAATTTAAGCTTAAGCAAACGGTTAGATAATGCTATTTTCATTTTTTCAACCCAAACATACTTTTAAGCAATAACAATGATTTTTAAGCACCACCACGTAGGTACCATTCACCCGTACAGTGCGGTGTCCGGGTGCAGCTACAGACAGCGACACAAAAAGCCGGCGTACACAAAACACGGAAAAATGAAAGTGCCCCATAGTAAATATTGACCAATCAAAAAGTAGTTAACTTATGATGACCATCCAATAAATTGAGCTAAAATTCGGTTGGAAGCCAGCAATTCGAGGGTGAAGCCGCGCTGCATGATCACTTTCTAAACCTACGATGGGGACGAATAAGCAGCTCGGCTACCCAATTAAAGAGAAGCTGGCGGCAGTCGACCTCATTGAGAGGATTGGGCTCACTGCCGCCGTTGAAAAGCTGGGCCACCCGCACGGCACGGTGCATGGGTGGTGGGTCGGTAGGGCCAAGCTGCGCGTCAACGAGGGGAACAAGTTCGACAAGACGACCAAAGGGCAGGGACGTAAGGAAAGCTTTCCATTTACCTCTGCCCTTTTGACGTACATGAAAGACGTACGCCGCGACGAAGAAGTGAGTTATTTAAATTTTATAGTATTTTATTATTACTTACTCTTACTGTTTAACTCTTGTAGTTTCTTACTACATCAGGAATGATTGCTTTTATTCAAGAGAACTACCCTGACTGGATAGAGGCCATAGCGGAGAACAAGAAGTCTGCCGAGAGTTGCAGACGGGCCCTTGAACGTTTACTGCAGCGAACCGCCGACCGGTATTATCTGTAAAATATTATTGCATTATTAACTGAGTTTTTAATCTTTTTTTAACCTGATTTTAGACGGATTCCCAGCTCAAAAAATCCAAGAAATCAAGCTCCCAAGTGTGGATCTGCAGCGCTTAAAAATCGGATTTTGCAATTGAAGTTTGGAGTAAATACGGTTCATACTCTCTACCGGAAATCTACAACATGGATGAAACGGCCATTTAGTTCGACATGCCGCCAGCAAGAACCCGGGCAATTAAAAGGCGAAAAAGATCCAAAATCTGACAAAACACTGCGGACGTAGTTAAGCACGCTGCCAAGTGGTCACTTTTACACAGTACAAGAGTTTGGCTGGATGGATACAGTCGGCTGGGAATTGTTATGTAATACACATTTTAAAATATGAAATTGACTCCCCTGCCCTCCTCTTAGTGGACAATTTTTATTGTCACGTTTCAGAGGAGGGTATGCGTGTGGTAGCCGAACCGGCATGCGCTGCAGAGGTCCCATTACCCGCTTAATCTACATCGGTTTGTCAACCGCTTGATGTAGGGGTAATGGGACCTCTAAAGTCTCGAATTCGAGGTAAATTACTACCCAAAAAAGGCCTTACGGCTGCTGAAAAACGTCTTCGAGCCATACAAGCTACAGTTGCAGCTTGGGAAAGTTTTCCCAACGAGCACGTAATTCGTAGCTTTAAATCAGCAATTCCGTGCTATGAGTCGACAACGGTATAGTAAACAAGCGTAGCTGAACTTTTTATTCCATACCCTCAGTTTTATTCACCCAATTAAAATATGTTTTGCTAGTCGTCCGAGTTTTTGTGTCGCAGATTTTACTATCGAAATTGGGTTTATCAACTCCGGCTTTTTGTGTAGTTTTCTGTACAGATAACGCAAAGGTCGTGAAGCCTACTTTAATAATAGTAATAATAACATCGTCTCTACTTTAAAAAATGCGATGAAAACAGCTCTTATAACAAAGTGTGATACTGTGCCCGATTTACAATACGTACGACAGGTTTTGCGTAGCTGAATGTCAATAATCAATCATCAACGCAGCTCGACTGGTTGTTTGTATGAAATCGGTGCGTTTCGTGCTCGGCAGAAATGCTTACCTTACGTCCAATAGCGAGGGAGAGAGGCGGTCTGATCGTGCGACAGATCCAGTCGTCGCGGAGTACTGCCAATCAGGGCGCGAGATAATTGTGTCCGCTTTTTGGCCATAATTGTAATTTAGGCATACTTAAGTCAAGTCAGAAAGATAGGCGCGGTCGGTAGGATGGGACCCAAATGCTTTAGAAAGGGCGAGTGTAGCCATGCGAAAAGGCAGGTCAAAGCAGGAAGACAGGGAGTGCGACGGACGGATTGACAGGCGGACGGACAGACAGACAGACCGACAGGTTACAAGGTTAGGTGGCGGGAAACTAGCGCTCTGGGCGCCCGCTCCGCGGACGCTAGGGCATCGTTGGTTGGTGTAGAGAGGGTTGACCACCTCCGCTGCGCTGGGTTTAGAGATTCTACTTAGCGCAAAGCTACATATATTAAATGCATACTGTGATATACTTATGTTACGGTTCAAAACAACACTGCATCAAATATCCTTAGTGTTCACGTGTTATGGTAGACATGACCGGGGTTTAACGTGATCTGCAAGATGAGCACCATCCTACCCGGAAAGGTTTTGTCTATAATCTCATTTGAGCGCATAGCTCCCAAAATGACACGAATCGGAGGCGCGCGGGGTTGCAGATGTAATATACGCTGTTCAGAAGACGGGTCAGTATCAATGATACTACGAAATCCCAGTTTAGCTGGAGTAAATACGGCTATATCTTTGATTGCGACGGTCTATTAGAGCAAGGTTTGGTCCGTTCCTCGCGTGAAGTATCTTTTAGGACAGGTAGTTTTTGCCGATGGTCGCCACAAAGACCAATATTATGTCTTGAAATTGCTCCGCTGAGCTCTTTATGATATTACTAAAGGGTCTTTGCACTACCTTTCACATGCGTTGATCTTACTTGCCTAGCTGACACACTTACTGACTTCTTTGCATAGCTACTGACTGACCGAGTGACGTAGATCCTTTCCGAGTGGCAAGCTTTAATATGTATGACGAACATGCGAAACCATATCGATATAGGCAGATTATCATGTTGTAGTGGTGTTTAGACTTGAATTGAATAGTAGCTCATGTACGTTAGATGCTGTAATCTCGCTACTACTTATCAGCTCGGCGTGTTGTTTGATATATCCATGCATAACTTGTTTCGTAAGCTCGTCACGCTCTCGCGGTAGCCAAAGCACATGTGGTCACTGTCGCTTTCTCGGTACATTTGCATTATGGTGCTGGCTTACTGTGCTTACGCTTCTAATGTATCTGTGGCGTAGCGGGATCAGCAAAATCTGCGAGATTGCTGGATCCAACTTACCAACTGCGCCCAGACACCGACTAACGGAGGGGTCCCCCGATGATCCGTGTTCTGCTAAACTTTCCTCACCTTGTGTACCCGTCGGTAGGGCGGGATCGGCTCTCTCGGTAACTTCCGAAGAGCTCAAGTGGTGAAGCTTGAGTGTCTTGGCGAGACGTGGGGATGGGGTGGAGCAGCAGTGTAAAATCTCCACTCTGCGTCCGTGGATGGTTCCGAATCCTAAGCGATTACTCGAGCTTATGGATCCAGGGCCTAGATCGTGGATCTGGTCGTAGGGTTGCCTTGCGGGTGTGTCCCTTGCCTTTGCGTTTCCTTTACGTCGTACTTGCCGCCTCCTGTGACGGGATCTTGAGAGTTGAGACCTTCTAGGGTGCAACCGACCAAGTAGTATATTCGGTTAACCTGTCGAATCTGCACGTGTAAGGAAAAGCTCACTAGGTTGTAGGATCTGGCCAATGTATTATCCAGTTATCGCTACCAACACTAGATCCGCAATTTTCAACCTTCTCCGAGCTCGTACGGCCAATGTAGCTCCGGTTCTTGAGGGCAGGAAGGTACTTGCGTGTTACTGTGCAAATAGAAGACTGTATTGATACTTAAGCCTATACCTGCCTGTATTTCTACCTTCTATGTCTTTTACTTGTTAAATCCCTCACCAGGCTCGGCTGCATGTCCCTTCTTTTCTTGACCCATCATCCCAGCTGTATTATCTTCCGATCCACCGGATCCATGGCGTAATCAATATGGTCACCCTATTATGGGTGCACTCATGTAACGGGGTTACATGGTGTGGAGCACACAGGGGTACGAAGTACCCGGAGAGGCAACAAACTCTCAGTACATAAGTTGGAGAGTTAACAAGGTCTCTCAGTACGTTGGCTGATAGCCACACGTTATGCATTTGATTAGGTTTAACTATGCTAGATAGTTAAGGAGATACATTGACCCCTAGGCGGCTTGGCCGCAATAATAGTAAATAAAACACTTCTGGTTTTGAAGCATAAAAGTTAAGGTGTTAACTTTGAGCCCTGGTCTTGGGCTGTAAGTTCCTTTGGACAAGGAACTTAGTATTAGTGACTCTTTGAGTCGAACGTCTTCCTCTGACGCTAAAGCTACGGCAGCCCCGCTGCACTTGGTAGCACTTGTAGTCAATCCCGCTCCTGAGTCGGTTGACTATATCCTCTGCGAGGATGGAACACCCCGTGTTCGCGAATTTGCCCCCGGCGCAGCAGGACGCGCTTACTAAGCTTATGTCCTTGCTTGGCCCGGAGGGCGTGGCTCATCTTGTATCGCAAGGTCCAGAGGCGGTCACTGCCAGGCTGGAATCGTTCTCCCGCTACGAGAACGCGCTCTTGGAGCATGTCCAAGAGAAGATGAGCGCCGCAACGGCGGCGGCGTCGATGACGCGTGAAGAGTCTATGAGACTGAAACCGCTCATGGTGAGCGTAAAAACCTTCGAGGGGAAGGATGGAGAGAATCTCCTTCTCTGGACCCGTGAGGTCGAGATGGCCATGGGATCGGCCCTGCTCCAGTCTGAGCATCAGCGCGTGGCGCTGGCTATCTCCAGGCTTGGAGGTCGCGCTCGCGAATGGGCACTAACGTGCGGCACGTCTGTTGACGCTGCATTTCCCACTTGGGATCAGCTGAAGCAACAGCTTTCGCGCGTGTTCGCGCCGCCTAATCAGGCGTACCGTATCCGGTCAAAGTTCCTTGCTACCCGCCAGGGTAAGAAGGATTTATTGGACTATGTCCAAGAGTTGAGAACTCTTATCGCCGGAATGGCGGCGGACCCTCTTCCGGAACTGGTCAGCGTGACCGTGTTCATGGAGGGACTTCGTGTGAGCGCAGCTCGGACGGAAGTGTTCCGTGTACACCCTAACTCTTTTGAAGAGGCGGTGGATGTGGCATTGAATGCCGAGCACAACTTCAGGTCGGCGCGACCTGGTTGGAGCGCTGGTAGCGCAAGCTCTTCGAGCGGTCTAGAGCCGATGGACCTCAGCTATGCTGAAGATGAAGAAGCGGAGCTTCTTGCTGCGGAGCAGCGCGCCGGCATCCGCCGATGCTTTGTGTGCAATAGCACTAAGCACTTGAGGGCCTATTGCCCTCTGCGCAAGAAGCGCGAGGCTCCGGCGAGCCAACCCTCCGGGTCATCGCCGGGAAACGGCAACTCCCAGTAGGCGCGGGGCGGCCTACTGGGGAAGAACTGAGTTCTGTTGTGCCTCGAAGAGGTAGAGGACAACGGGGCTCAGCCCCGAAGAGAGCTGAGCTCTCTTACGAGAAGAGTGTGTGCAAGCCGGGCTTGCTGGTCGTTCAAGCGAACGTGAAGGGCTTTGCAAAGCCATGGAGAGTCTTGATTGACTCGGGAGCCTCGGGCAACTACGCCCGTCGCTCCACCCTGGAAGGGAGTCAGCTGTATGCTGAGGCACTGGAAGTTCCAACGAGAGATACGATCTCTGTCCGTCTCGCGACGGGGACACTGGTAACTGTGTCGAAGGTCTCTGTCGACCTTGGAGTGAAGTTTGAGAACTTCGATAGCGTGGAACGCTGTTTGGTCTTAGACCTGGATGCGAGGTATGACCTCATCCTTGGCATGGCATGGCTGGAACGTCATGAGCCATGGATCGACTGGAAGTCGAAAACGCTGGGTGCGTCGCACCCTGCTCCTAGTGGAGCTTTGGTGAGTCATGAACCCACCTCGGCTAGGAAG